ATATAAGTAATCAATAATGGCACAAGTAAACAGCTTTACAAATTTGTCAATATCTGCTTTATTTCATAATATAGTTGATTAGGATATTATTCTATTAAATTGTAAGATTATTCAATAAATGTTAATAAAATAAAATTTTATAATATCTTGATATAAAAAGATATTATAATTTATTTATCTTCCTAATTCTTGGTTTTATATTTATCATCACAACGTAACCATTAAATCAAACTTTATTATACCAATGTTCATTTTATTGTATATATTTGTAATAAATGATAATCCCTTTTAGGATTATGTAATATTTTGATTAAAAATATATCAAATAGAAGTGGTTTGAAGATTAAAAAAGATTATTCAAGTTCATAAGGTAAAAGATTTTCTCTGTATTTTTGTAATTAATTTTTGTGTATTTTAATCACATCATTTGTAAAATTATTAGAAATAAGGTTAGTCTAATCTGATAAATTTAGGGAATTTGAAATACATATAAAATTTGATATAAATATTGATCTATGTTTATAATTTTAATTATCATTTCTTTTCAAATAGTTATTAATAGTTATCATTGAAATGTTGATTTAATATCTAGAAATTATGTAATTTAAATGAGATAATAAATTTTCCTTAAAATATGTACTTAATTTAGAGATTAATATCTTTTATATATCCAAAATAGTAAATAAATTTATATATGATAATATTTCTACATTTAATAATCATATAGGCTTGCTAATAATACCATAATGATTATTATATCTACCCAATTCAAGGTGAAACTATAGAAATGCCTTTGGATGTATTTTTTAATAAACAAGATTTAAAATATGATTGCCCTAATTGTCCTGAAAATGTGACTGTATCCAATGTCTTAAGTTTAATAGGAGAGAATTCAAACAGTATATATTAATAGTAAATTAGATTATACATTTATTTCTGTTTCATTTTTGAATGATTAGTTTGCAGCTTTAACTTAAAATCACACATTAAATATTTATACGAAAAATATAAATAGAATAGAATTGGAGAGAATAATAAGTATAAATTAGAACTTAAATTGCTTTAATGTCATTTACACATTAGAAAATAAGATACTTTTAGATTGCTATTTGGGATAATAATTGTATCTTTATTATCTTGAAGCTAATACTTTAATTTAAGTATATACATCTCACAGTTAGAAACCTCAAAGAACAAAAATAAGCTCATTTGCAAATTAGACTAAAGTTTACACTGTATATGGATAATTTTTTGAAGATTAAGGATTTTTAACTATTTTTGCTGAAAAAACAAATAATACATTTTACAATATTAGTAAAATAAATGGTGATATTTAAGACTTTCTTATTTCATTTAGAGGATTCACTAAGAATTAATTATTTGTTTAATTTAGTAATAAAATTTAAGTTTACATATTGTCCTCTGAAGAGTAATTAAAGAAAGTATATTATGCACCCATTTAGTATTCTATTTTAAGCATGACTTATTTTTATTCTATTGATACTTATTATCAATTTGATAGATTTATAATGATAACAAGATAAGATGAAGAAATAAGTTTTTAAGAAATATTATATGGTAGTTTTTTTTCCTAAAAATTTGCTTCCAAAAATATTCCAATCAACATTACTTAAGGTATTTAGCTATTTGCAAATAGCTAATTTATTATTTTATATAATAATAATGAATTAACTATCTTTAAGAATTAAAGAGAAAACATTAATATCTTAGCTAAACATAGAATATTTTCAAACGAGTAATAACCTATTATCTATTTCAATTCAATTCATTAGAAACTTTATATATTTGGAAAAAGTATTTAGATATATTAAATTTCATTCCCAACATTAAGCTTCTCATCAAATCTAACTTAAGGCAGTTTTATAATTAAAGCACATAAAATAATCAATTCTATCGTCTTATCCTAATGTATTATTTCTATCCATTTTAATTAAATTAGCTATTAAGATAGAAATATTTATCCAATATATAATAATAAACAATCAACTTATTACAATATTTTATAATCTCAATTTCATTACCCAATTTTAGATGTTTCAGGACCTCTTATAAGACCAATAAGTCATCTTAGTAATTCATCATTAGGCAATTTTTATGATGATACTTTGTAATAAACAAATTTAGAACTCTAGTAAAATTACCAAATGATCAAAATCTTTGGTATTGAACTTATTTAGGGATGTAAGTCAAATCCAGTTGGCTGTTTTTTTATAGTAGCAATATAAAATTAAACTATTGATATTTATGAATAAGAGATAAAATTGATATCTTTATCTATTAATTTAGATGGTTATTCATTTAATAATAGTTAAGTAGAGATAAACTATTTTACTAATGGTGGATTGTTTTTTTATTAAATTGGATTAAGCATAAATTCAACATGTATTTAAATTTATAGTTTTTTGAATAAAGTAACAAAAATGTTTATATCATAAAATATTACTCTTTAGATCGAGCCATACAAATAATTTTTACTTCTTGATAATGCAGTTGTATTAATATTAGATTCAAATTAATTGGCAATTTGCACATTTGACAACAAATAAATAATTTTACTCAACTCAACCATTTTAACTAAGTTATTTGGAACAAAAATATTATTAAATCCAATTAACATATTTATGAACCAATAATATCAATCCAAAATATTATACATCAACAATAATAATAGCTTTTTAATAGGATCTATAACAGATGAATATACTTTTGTATTATTCTCTTTAAAAGAAGTAAATATGTAAATTATAAATCTTTAAGTCATCAAGAATTTTTTAATATTATCATATAATTGTGAAGATCAATATACTTTATGCTTTTAAGTTTGGAATGTAAAGGATTATTATTATCCAAAGTTTCTTAAAAATTTAACATCTATTTAAATTAGAAATTAATGTTAATTTTATTCAGATAATCTATTTTTTTATGTCTAAACTGAAAATATAATCAATGTCTATAATCCTGAATAATCTGAGCACTCTAGCTTATATAAGTAAATTACTTTTAATGGTTAATATTTTAGTAGTTTAGCTTATGAAAATATTGCATTTCTTAGTTTCAATTAATCTTTATTTTCATTAACAAAAATACTAATATAATCCTTTTTAGATTAAAACATTTAGAGTGAATATTTTTCTGATCTTGTCTTTAATTTCACAATTTCTTCAGAACTTAATCCCTCATATAAGCTTAACTAAACTAATAATTCTTTAATAATTATCAATAATTATATAGATATTAATTTAGAAGATAAAAGCTTAAGTGTTGATCATAATTAATCCTCTTTATAAATTTATAGAGAAGATATTTCAACATAGGGATAAATTGAATATTTCTAAGTTGAAAATAACAATAATATATTTGTAAATAACTTCATTGATAATTACAATTTAACAGTATATTTAGAAAAATATAATTTAAGTACAACATTAAAAAATCAATTTGTACTTTTGAATAATTAGAATTTATTCATTTATAATTCAAATCTATCTTACTCTTTTGGTCCATATAATATTTGTATAGCTACTACTACATATTAAGATATCATTTATGTTTTATGTCAAAAGGAAGACTTCTATTAAGTAATAAGTCTAAATATTTTAAATGATACTAATTTAGAATAGACTTAAGTAATAGATTTTATTAAACTTAATTATTCAAATTATATTTGGATGAAAATTTAAGATGACTTGCTTTATATTTGGAATAGAAATAAAACTAAAATGTATCATCTTAATCAAAATTATTATTAGAATGAAACTGAAATTTGTGAATGTACTTAACTTAGTTTCTAAGCAATTACATTATAAAAATAGATAGATTAACAAGTAATTGTCTATTTTTATTTCAAAGTATATACTCAAAATTAATTGTCTTACAAAATAATAAAAATAATTAAAAATTAGAAAATTCTTTTAGGGGAAGAAAAGAACATTAATATAAATTTATAGCCTTTTTAAATAGTTGAATTTGATACAATAATTGTATTAGATTTTAAATATAAAGAAATATTTCTTATGATTTCTAATTCAGGCTTTAATTGTATCATTTCAATTTTGTGGATACTTGAGGGTCTCGACATTCTCTAAAGCAACATGGTATTTTAAGATATTATCTAAACTTCCCCTCCTTAACCTAGAAAATAGTTTAATTTAACTACACAACCTTAAAACAGCTCAGGTTTATTGCTTTTCTTATATTCAAACACAATTAATTCAACAAACCAAAGCTATTTAATAACTTTGTACAATATGTCTGTGCTAGAAAATGATAAAAAGTATACTCCTCTTCTTTATGAAGGTGGGTATAATTTTACTTTAAATTCTGTTAATATCTCATCAACTTCCTTCTATACTTATAATAAATAATAAGGAGAAATTTTAATTCTATTTGATAATTACACCGCGATGCATTTGGATGTGAATTTGTTTTCTATACAAGTTAATTTACCTCAAGATTTAAAAAAATAGAATCTGACTTTTTTATTAAAGGCTTTTAATTATTATAATCAATCAGCAGAGGCTACAATTATAATTTACTAAAAATAAGAAAATATTTCGAAAGGATCCTTTTATGCTTTAGCTTCTTTAATATTGATAGTCATTCTTACTGCAATTCTGGTATATTATGATAAGACTAGGAACTATAAAGAGGATTAGGATCTTGATTATTTAGAGATGGAACTTTGATTTAACCATAATTTCATTTTTCATTTATTTATTTAATAACTAATTTGTTTATTAAAAAATATTAATATTTTATTTTTAATGTGAAAATTTATAATATTCTCTATAAAATTTCTGTAAAGAAATAAAATTATTTATACAAATCCAAATACTGTATAAAGGTTGGGAATTGGATTGAATTAAATAAAAAATTTGATAAGAGGTATTAAATTACTTATAAGGGTGAATACAAAAATGGACAAAAAAGGTAGGCTTATGGAAAAAATGTAAAAGAGAAAATAACATATTAAAATTACAGTATAGAAATAATTCATTATAAATAGAGGGTGTGTCAATTATGATTTCAATGGCTAAGTGATTTTTAGAAGTGGAGAGTAAATCTTGTTCTTTGATATTGTAGATCTTCGAATTTTATTCATATGGGTGAATTTAATAATGGTAAGAAGGTTGGCACTTGTAAGATTTGATTTAAAGAGAATGAAAAATATAATTAGATATAATACTGTGAACTTTAAGTGTAATTAGAGGTGAAGGGTCGTATGATTTAGAAGGTCAAGAAATAAAGATTGGCGAATTGATTGTATTGGGAGATCAATTTGAAAAATAGAAATAAGTAACCTTCGTTGGAGAATATGAAAATGGAAAAAAATTGGTAGATGGGATATTTGGTTTAAATAATATGGATAAAATGCACAATATAATAAAATATGATGATAACGGAGGTAATGAAGTTAAAATTGGTAGATGGAAGGTATTAGATGAAAAGTTTGGTTTTAAGCAAGAAATAACCTGTATTGGAAAATGTGAAAAAAGTAGGTAAATGGGATAGCAACCTTCTTGATGAAGTGATGTAAAAATCTAATTTAGTTATCAATTTCATAGCAATGGTGGGTTATATGATGAGAATGGCAATAACAATAAAATCGGTTAGTGGATTGAATAGAATTTTGCATTTAATAATCACAATCTAATATTGTTTAAAGGCGAGTTTTAGAATGGTGAAAAAGTTGGTAGATGGGAGGTTTTTTAAAAAATTAAATTATTTGTAATAATCTCTAAATAAGCTACATAATTTTATTAGTGGTTATGGGTCATTTGATAAAGGAGGAGATTGTATCTAAATTGTGAATTGGTATCATATCGAGGATGAATTCAGTATAAGAAATTATTTATCTTATAGTTGTACATATAAAAAATGAATATTAAGATGAATCATGGATCAAACTAGAAGTAGAACAGTAAAAAAGATTTTGAAAAAAAAATGAAATATTAGAAATTATCCTTCATAATTGTTTGTTTTTTAATTAATTCTTTTCAGAAATCAAATCTGTAATAATTGTAATTTCTTGGGTTTTACCGATACTAAATCTACCTATCATCCAATTCGCTAATTACTTATTTTACTAGGTTATTTTACTGACTTTTAGTTTTTAATGATAATATATAATGTGAAAAAAATATTTAGTGCAGTTAAATCATTTACCTTTTTTGAATTTCTGAATTAAATTCATTTAGGAATAATATTACTATTTTGATATCTCAAAATCTATTATTTTTATATTTTATTATTTTTTTAATTAGACCCATAATAATGAAATTTTAATTATTTCTTTATTTTATGAATAAGATCTATTCTGGTAAGGCTCGGTTACTTTTATTTCTTTTAAGACTGTTCAGATTTTTCCTCTCGAATCTTTCCCTATTATTATAGAGTGCGCCGCAATTGTTCAAGTATGAGTGCATCTATTTATTCCTCACTTAATTTCTACATGACTTCCTAGTTGCATTCTTTTTCAAGAACAGCTTTTAATGCTAGAACTTGATGTCTGTTAGGGTTTGGGTTTGGGTTTGGGTTTGGGTTTGGGGTTGGGGTTGGGTTTGGGTTTGGGTTTGGGGTTGGGTTTGGGTTTGGG